TAATATCTCATAATAAGGGGGTGTGTATTACTGGGTGGATTTGCGTCTGATAAGTTGTGGAGATCCCCTGAGAGCCATGGTGCATGTGCTGAATTTCTACCTGCTGTTCATTTTTCCATGGATAACCATAACCTGTCCTAGACCTGACCCAAACAAATTGGGTAAATAAGCTTTTGAGTTGTCGGGAGGGGAAGGTCCTGGGGATCTTGATAGGGATTATCTGCAGAAAGATCAAGATGTCAGGATGTTCATCTTCAGTATATGTATTACACCTAGCCATGTGAAAGGTCTTGTGCCAATCATTGTTTTCATAATGGATAGCAGGAGAAGTTCAATGAAGCCAACTGTAGACTCAAAACTTTGATCTGTAAGCCAGATGTCCAGTCTGCCCCTTACAACAGAATGAAAATGATTATTTTAAATGATGGAATTAAGATGGCACCCCTGCCTTCTGCCTTACCTAATAGAAAAGGTTAAGGAGATGTGCCATTTACCTTGATATGGACCTTATAGTTGTGATACCATGCTGGGGTCACGTTTAGGATGACTTCTAAAACCTCCACCAAGAACATTTATTATTATTTATTATTATTTATTATATAGTATTTATATAGCGCCAACAGTTTGTGCAGCGCTTTACAATGTAAGGAAGACATTACAATTACAATACAATTCAAGACGGGATGGTAAGGAGGGCCCTGCCCCTGAGGGCTTACATTCTGAAAGAGGAGGGGGAAATGATACATGAGGAGGTAGCTGTGTGGGGATGAATTGTTTGAGAATGTGATTGTTCAGTGGTTAGGTTGGGGTGGGATCGAACATCCAGTCTACCCTGTTTTAATGCCTTCTCAGTGTCAATGGAGGGAAGGAGGCAGGGACCTAGAGTAGAGTGATGCTGCACCAAATGCATCTCTCGTATTGTGTTGTCTCTAGCTTCTTGTCCAGCTATGAAGCCTGTTTGATCAGGGTGTACCAGCTTAAACTAGTTTTAAAATCTATCCGCCAAGATTATTGCAAAAATGTAACTGCAAATTTAAAAGAAAAATTGGGTGATGGTTTTGGGGTAAAGTGTGGTCTTTGCCTGCTTTTGGCGTAACTGATACCTTTTTGGATATACCTATCAATTTTCTTTCTGAAATTGTCCACGAATAGTCTTTCGAATGATAATTGATCAGTTGATGGAACACCAACTATTTTAATTGCTGTACTTCTGGCCGAATTTCCTTGATCAGTCGGGCTGGAAAACGTTTTGTTTTCAAATCGTGCGAAAATCGATGGATTAGTGCCGAAGAACACTGCACATGTGCAAACGAAAATCCCTTCTGTTTGACAAAATTTGGTCAGTTCGTATTGCTAACTCAGATTATCGAAATAGACATTGGTCTGTGCTTGATGGGCTATTTGAGCTAGAGTCGAAAGAGGGTTCTTGGTAGCAAGGAAAGTTCCCGATCGAAAATCTATAGGTGTATGGCCAGCTTTAGGATAAAGCATCTCAGTGGTAATGTATTTACTCAGGGAAGTACTAAGTAGGGTCAGGAACTTCTGGTAGTGGGGTTGGGTGAAATAATCTTTCCTTTTAGAGTGAAAGTTAATATGCTTTTGGTTTTGTCAGTGGGAATGGGTCCATCTAGGCCCTCCACTAAGGAGGGAGATAACCTGGCACATCTTCTTGTAGATAGTGTTATATTAGAGTCACTGCTTTTGCATTGCCACAGATCATTCAGGGTCCAGGTTGTTTCCATTTACATAAGTCTCTGAAAGCAGAGGTGATTTTAGAGGTAGCCCTTTCCCCCTTGAAGTGGCCTTAACTTATGCACATGGTTGAGATTCCATTGTTTCCTTATGGCTCTGGCCAATATTCTGCTGCATTTTATTTCCCTGCGCATAATATTGGTGGAAGATGTAGCACAGCTTGCTGGGCATCCATAGGTCAAAAACAATTTGGCCAGATCTGCCCATGTGGGCTCCAGGCAAGAAGGTGTTGTACCACCTTTTTGCCTGGCCCTTACTGCAAGAGATTAATTGATATTTAATTTATAGGTGCAGCAAGATGGGTTGAGTCGGCATGTGGCTTCTTATTTCTTGGATATTCCCAGAATCGTATATCCTTGTCATAATTCCAACTCTGTTCTGTCCACCTAAGAACTTTAGGTGGCATGCCCTTTTCCCACCTACAGTTATATTCTCCAACCAACAAAGTCTCTGGGAGATGTGAGACATTGTCAAGTAGTTTAATGTTCAACCTTGTACCAAAAAACACACACACACTTCCAACAAAGCCATCGAGGCCCACCCTATGGGAGGTACGGGGTGTAGATTCTCCCGACGCCTGCAGCAGGTAGTTGGTCACGATTCTCCAGATGGAGGGTGGGGAGCGGAGAACAGACTGTCTCCGCTCTGCTACATATAAACCGTGAGAGGCGAGAGCTGCACTAGCAGCCTTCCCCTCTCAGCTGTCACAGGAATTCCAGCACAGCACAGTGCTGTGCTAGGACTCGTGTATTGGAAGTGACGGGTTCAATAAAGAGAACCTGTCCCCTCCAAGTGCTAACACAAATTTAAAAAGTAAAAAATTATACATAAAATCAAAAGATGAGAGAAATAAAAGTAAAAAAAAATAGTGATGGGGGCAGTGGAGATTAAATAAATGTGTGTATTTTTGGGAGAGTCCTTTTTAACCACGGTTTATTGGTCACAGACTGGTAGATGTCTGTGGTGGCCATTATACAAATAAGTTTGGTCATAAGTACTGTGAGCCTGAGCTTTGTGTCTATTTTGGTTACTATGCAGGAGCATGATGCATGCATAGCAATATAATCATACATTCCATTGGGAAAAGGAAGGATTTATTGTAAGAATATATAGCCATTGTACAACAGCTGCGTTTTTTTTTAAATTACTTTTTTGTCTATTTTCCTTTCCCCTTTGCTTGCAGCTGAATAGGTTTACAGATGCACTTTTAGCTTGTCTAATTCAGCATTTTCCATTTACTGTTGTTTGGTTACATGAAACCATTTCTAATACCCTGAAATATCAGCTCTTCACCCAGGCTGTGTCACTGCAGCGAAAGCAACTCTGTATCTTCCTCTGATCTTCCTTAGAATACCCCTCAGGTCCTTTTCATAGATAATAAATTCTAAGACCGCTGGAGATGTCCATGTTACATTTCATGTCTGAACAGACCTATAATGTGGAGCTTCTACATTCCTTGCTGAACTATTTAGCTTGTCTAAAGACAGCCGTTTAAGCTTTGTGTGCACCTGCACATTTTTATTAACGGTGAAGTAATATACTTTTGTAAACTTGATCGTCCACTATTAGCAAATCGCTTAATTACATTGCAAAACAATCACTTTATTTAGACAGTGTAGTTTGGCTCATTTTTGAAGGAAGTTTCCTTAATTTTGTTAGATATATACTATAAGCCCTGGCAGCAGTCGTTCAATGGACTAATGAGGTGTAATGCTTATCATATCCTACTATTTGGTTTAGGAAGTCGGGAGCTCTAAATTTAAACAATTTGATGCTATTGGTCAGATTTGTCCTTGGGCTCTAAAAAGTTAATGGTGTTATAAATTAACATCCTGTTTTTTTTTTTTTTTTCTTTTTTCCACTTATTAGTATCCCCTGGCTGGCGAACTTTTATAATTTTTCAGGTAGAGATTCTTCAGCTGTGGGTTTATTTTACCTTTCACGTGACTTTATTTGGATATGGCAGTTACTCTCAAGATGGCCTTACACTGCCATCATTAGTCCATTTCAAACCAATCCATCCACCAGGAATTGCAAGCTAATAGTTGGAAACCAAGAAATCTACTTTCCACAAGTTTGATCAAACAGCACCCCCCCCCCTGTTTCCCCAAAATTCAGTCACTTGTGAAGTCAAAACTGGCCAATAAATTTACAGCATCAATACAAAAACTATGGCAATGTTGAAAAATCTTTTCTGCCATGTTTCATTAGGGCGATTTTGATCCTAGCTTGCTTTGCAATATTGATAAAAAACCGTACCGTATGGTTGCTCTTCAGTACTTGACCAAGTATCACATTGATTTGCTCTGTGCCATTACTGTAGGACTACAGCTGCTTAAAAGCAGAAAGCCCTGAAAATGTTAGATGGATATAATTTTTTTTAAATATTTGCAGTGATTTTGCAAGGGGAAGAAATAAAGCCCATAAGGAAATTTGAATTTCAGCTGAATGACCCCCACTTAAGGGGGGGCGCCCTTAAGTGGTCCACGTTTTAACTCTTAGTGGCTTTCTACATTTTGTGAAATCTTTTATCTCCAAATGGATATTCTGAAAGACGACCAATGATTGTAAATGCTTTTCCCTTCCTTGCTTAAGTCCTGTATTGCCCAAGCCCAACGCTTGATATGTGGCAGACTAACTAAACGTTTGTGTCTTTCAGAAATCTAGGTAGCCCATATACATGCTAGCCATTGTTCAGATAAGTTGCATTTATCAATCTTTCTGTCCTAACTGGAAACCTTGAAGCCACTAAAATACTGCATTAAAGGTGGTTGACCAAATCCCTTTTAAAACTTCTACCCTTCAGAATTTAAGGAGCTGAATGTGTTTCAGCCTAGTAAAGTGCATAAAAGATGGGGAAAATCCATGGCATATTTAATTCATAATCGCTAACTATATGAACAGCATGTCCTTCTTCCATGTTCTAGAATTAGGGCAAATGTATATTTCTAAATTTCTGATCCAAGTACTACACAAGCTCAGCTCCATTGTAGCACGCTCACTTTCCCCAGCGTGTATTGTAGCAGTTCTCGCTCTGCTGCCCCCAACCCCTCCAGGTACACCTTTTTATATGGCTATAGATGTCTATAAATGTCTTCACTCAAGTCTGCTTGCCTGAAAATGTTGGCAAGCTGATTTTGTTGTTCCTGCTCGCCTTTCTCGTCCTGGCAGGTGTTTATTTACCTGCTTCTTGGTAAATATTGACTAATATAGTTTCAGGGAATATTCAAGGTAAGCAGAACATGACTATTCTCTCTCCTGAAGAGCAAACCATCCTATACTCCTCTGCTTCTGGCCCTGCAGGTGTGTACGAAAGTGAGATGGGTGCAGAAACCAGGTCGACAAGGAGGACTGGTTTGTCCGCTTGCGTGGTGCTAGAGTGAGCTTAACTGCCCTGAAACATCCTCAGAGACAGAGGAATTGTTCTTCATCTATGGCTGATACAGGGAAATTTGCAGGGATATTTAACGGTGAATTAGGACATTTGGATTATTGTGATTACTTAAGAGGTTTTACATGGCTTCATGTGAAACCTGTGTAGTGAAAAGCCTGTTAACATAGTTTCATGGCAGTGTCTTAATGTTCTGGCCTGTGTTTTTTAAAAGCTTGCCATATGATTTGTTAGCCATTGTGATAAGTGACTAATATACATGGGCTCTTCATTGGGGCGTTGCTACTTAAAATGACATTTAAGCATTCAATGCATTAAAGTCCCTTTTTTAACTATTAACAAAAAATGTATCTTATTTGTGTATCACTCAGCTATAGATCCTCAAACCATCTCTGGATTGGTGCTGACGCTGTCCTTTCTGGAGGGTGGCTACTTTTGTTCCTCATGGTTCCTGTGTGTTTTGTAAAGTGACCACCTCCAAGCTCGCTCCAGTGATAGATCTTTTCTTTGGGGACGCATCAAATTAAATGGCATCTGGAACCTTTTCTGGATCATTATCACTGCCTGTCCTGTTCTGACAACTGTTTAATTTCGTTAGTCTCCTCTATCTACTGTATATGTAGATCTGTCCTGTATTTCCATTTAAACAACATATAGGCTCATGTTTAGAAGAAACAGGGGAAAATGTCCTGTGTCTCAAGGCTGAGCTGCATGTATTGAATACCGTAACCAAATGAGCAAATATTTTGAGAACTTGTAAAGCTGTGCCATATTACCCAGTGATCTCACCACAAGGTTGAAATTGGGTGGGTTGTTTTTACACCAGTCCTGGCACAGTCTACATGTGGCTGTAGGTTGTGTAGTGTCTTTACACATGGACGGCACTAATCACTTGCTATGCTAACTGTTATGTTTATACTTACGCATACACCACTGTAGATGAGAGAGGACGATGGTGACATCTGGAGGATGCTAAGCCTTTAGTATTTTTCCCTATTTTATGGCCTATGACAAGGAAGTAGGTTGTGATTCTGGTATGAGATCTTCCTCAGGTTCCCAAAATAAGATCCATGGCAGGACAAGACTGTCATGTATTTTATAGTTCATTTTTAAAATTGTTGTAATCAATATGGGTATGTGCTGTTGCTAATATTGCTCTAATGGCTGATTCTTGGAAGAAACAGTGTGACTTTCAAAACTTTTTATTTGCCTGATGATAATGCTGTTCCTATAATGTCAATATATTCAGAGCTATGGACCTGGAGCAAGCATGCAATATATGGTGACTGATCACCCAAACTGCCTACTTGTTCCAGCTCGGGCACTCCGAAATAATTCAAGTTATGGGATTGGCTTGATGACCATCTTTAAGTCAGCAATTTGAGCTTTCAAGTTTTAAAAGGAAGCCTGTGTGAACAGAAATATGTTAGGGTACCTTACTAATTTGGTAAAGGCATGTAGTGATAAAGTTAATGGATCATCTGAATAGGTCAGTAGATATTGGTTCCCACTTAAATCTAAAAAGCTTACGAGGGCTCTGCAATGCGGGAGCGTGTGTTACCTCACGCGATCCTACATCGCACAAGACTGTACGTTACACTGTTGGGTGCGCTGTGAAGCCATCATTTCCTAATGTCACCAACATACCCAGTCATCGCATGTGCATTGCATGGCACCACAATGTTTGGTAACCTATTACCATGTGGTATGGTGCAGTGCAAATTTTAAAGAAAGGATCATACATCTATTTTAGTGCACTTTAAGATGCAGTAGACAGCCCACTTAAATGAATGGACTGCCCTAATGCAGCGCACTGCAATGCACCCTGCAGCACACTTGCAACAGAGATGTGATCAACTCCTGGTGCCAGCGCACTTGAAGGTTTGTCAAAGCACATGAAATAAGAGGTTAAAGGATATATTTGCTAAGTTCCGGGTTTGCCTGACTATGCTAAGAGCACTTGTGTTTTTTAAATGTATAGTGATCTCTTGAATTAAAGTAACTTAATAGTAGCATGATGACTCTGCCAAGACCTGTATTGAACTTGGAGGTATAGAGTGATTTATCAGGACTGGTGGAGATATTTTGCATTGCTTGATGAATTTAATGGGCAGTGCTTACACTTTTGCTCCAGTGTTGAAGTCCTAGCTTTTATTGGGTGAGTGACATATAGGCAGCCACTAGGAATACATAACTTATTTTGGGTTTAAATGTTTTGCAGTGACTTTATTTTTTTCTTCAACAGAATATACTTCTCCCTGAATGTTTCTACTCCTTTTTTGACTTGAAGAAAGAATTCAAAAAGTGCTGCCCAGGATCTGCTGATCTAAGTGAACTCGATGTGACTGCAATGGCAAGTTGTATCCTTTTCTTTGAAATTTGTGGGTTTTTTTTTTTCTAACTTGTGAAATGTCAATTGTTTTAGAGAAAAATAATTATTTGTAAAGTGGAAATAGGAAAGTAACATTCAGGCAGAATGCAGCTTTAAATTAAACCTGTCATGGCTGACTGCTTTCTGAAAATGAATTGCCTGGCTGCTTGCTAATCTACTGGCTTCAACACTGTCAGTCACTGATGTGGAACATGATGTGTATACAGATTAGTAAAGTCAGAACTTCTTGTCTGCAAACTTCTGATCTAGTGACTAAAAGTACTGAAAACCGAACTCACAAAAACTTTATATAAATCCGCTTTATGTGGACTAAATGCCTTTTTATGAGCCCGGATATGATCATATAAAAGTAGCTGTGACATCAAAACTGTGCTGCATATACCCTGTAAGTGCAGAGCTGTAAGAGGGGAACAGTAGCTCCATCTACTACAAACTGCCTGCAGAAAACTGCAGGAGGGGAGGAGAGGAGTTCGGTCACCCAGCACAAGGAGAGCTCAGCAGTGTCTGGTCTTTTTTTGCTGGTAGAGGTAAAGTTTCACATTTTGACTTACAGAATTTTGCAGAAATATACAAAAAACATAAATGAGAATACGCATGACTCTTGGATTAAGACAATATTTGGTAGTCTTGGAGTTCAGGGTTCACATGAGCCACAGGGTTCACAGGGTACCATAAGAAGAGGTCTGCCATGGCAGGAAGAGCTACTGGGGACCCATTAGGAAAGAGGAAGGAAGATTGAGAAGGTTTAAAAAAATAATAATTAGCTTGCTCCTAGGTTGTGTCATGAGTAGCATCTAATTATAGCTTTAAGGTTTTTCCTTGAACTGGCCATCATCCACGCACATCTGAAATATTTTTTTGGCCTATAAAACACTTATTTGTTCTGTGTGTGGCAAATATTTATTGCCTAAACTGTCCCCTGCTTTATGAAATATCTGAAGGAAAAGCTATGCCAGTGTAAAGTTCACCCTTTATTTCCCCAGCATGACAGAGAACTGGGAATTTGTAGCCAAGACAGGTACTCTTATAGTCGTATTGATTGGAGACCAATGTTACGTGTCTTTGTCTACTAGAAGTAATCATGTTGACATTTCATGTCATTTTATCCCCATCAGGACATGTGGTTTTTGAATGCTGCATGGTGGAATTTTTGCCTCCCCATATTTTTAGTTTTTCCTCAAGTAGATTAAATTTTTTTGAAAGTGTAATGTGTTTTCTGACCTGGTCACTTGTAGCGCATGAAATGAAGCCAAGTGGCTTTATCACAAAAGGCTGTAAATATCCTTTTGTGTGCTTGTAATCTTTCGCTGGCTGAATATCTGGAAAGCAGCAGTGTTTTCACAGCCTGTAATAGGAGTTCAGCCTCGACACTCCTCTGTTGATTCTTGTCATGTGGCGACCTACACACCACTTGTATTCATGTTTTCTGCTTGTCTCTCACCTGCAAAGGTGCATTCATACAGGTTTTTTTCTTCCGCTTGTGTTTAAACACTTATGTTCCGGAATAGGCAGTAAGGATAATTGGAGGGCTTTTTGTATGGATTTTTTTCTAACAACAATTTTTTTAACTATTGTTTTATTTGAGAACCACAATACAATAGATAACATCACATTTCATTCAAATTAATTATTTTAAGATTATAACTGGATATAAAACACACTCTGTCCTTGGTGTCAGATACTCAAGGTACTCTACATTCCTTTTCCTTGCCTTTTTTAAAATAGGGACTCCCTGAAACCTGAAAATAATTTCTAGGCTTCCTCTAATGTGATAGTAGGACTCTAATGTGAAAGGGGAACTCTGATGTAAAAGGGGGGGGGGGTTGTGCTCCTGATGTGAAGGGAGAAACGCCAGTTGTGTTTGTGTGGGGTCCCCCCCTTAAATTTTTTTTGTTCTACTGGTGTACCTTGAGATTTTTATCATGTTTAAAGTGTACAGTGACTGGAAAAAAAAAGTTGAGAAAGGCTGGACTAAAGGGATCAGTTTGTTGCCTCACAAGACAAAATAGCGTCAAAATTTTGATTTGGAAGCCCACCAAAGATCACTTTAGAGTTGAGCTTGGGTTTAGTCAGAACCCAGAAGGAAGCTGTCATTCCCCACCCAATAAGCTGCAGCCAATGGATTTCCCACCCTGCAGCTACAGCATGGTGACCTTGTATGGTCACATGGACATTTAGACCAAATATGGCTGTCCATCTAGGTCAATGATGTCAACGGCATCCTGCCCCTTTGTTTGCATACTGCTGTGTGGCAGGGAATTCCCCAGCACTGACAACTCCCTTCTTGGGTTCAGAAGAACTCAAATTTGGACCAAACTTGAGCTCAACCCTACTAAAGAGTTGGTGACGCTTACAAGCGACTGTTGTGCTGTCCACAACAAGGAATATTCAGTGGGTACAATCTCCTTCCCTGGTACAGAAAACTGGGTGGGTGTAAAAGGAAAAATCCAGCCGAAATTAAAGTTGAGGTACACACAGCCTTTCTGCTGAGTATGTGGTTTTGTAATTCCCAGGCACATGTGTTTGCACCAGTCCACACCACTCCCTTTTTATCGCCCTCCTTGCTGACTCCTTTTCAAAAAGCCTGATGTGAAAAAAAGCCAGTTTGTTTCTTACAGCCACCAGTCCAAATCCACCACAAATTACTGTCCCTTCCAAGGCTGGTTAAAGGAACGAAAGCGGAAGTCACCTAGCACAGGCTTCTGGAAGTATGTACCTACCACACTCATACTGGCATTGAGGTGGTTTCTGTGTTATGTGGGTGCACTGGATTATAGGGAACTCAAATTTAGTTAAACTGGGTAAAAATTCTAAATTATGCGCATTTGCAGTTTTTTCTGGATAGTGTTAGCGTCCCAGTGATTGGTTTCACTTTGTTTTTTGGACCTTATCTTTAAAGAGACCATGTCATTGGACTAGTTATTTTAACGAACATCCTTAAGGTTATAAGTGCATTAAACTTGTTAATGCATTAATGTAATTTATTTTATCTCTAAATGCCTCCCTTGTGTACACACCCAAAAGCCCTGCTGCTGGGCATGGACATCTTGGATGTTATTTTTAGCAGCCCCAGCACACCAAGTCCTGTCAATCATTTGACATACTATAGTATTCCTTTGCTCCTCCCCCTGCTAGCTTTAAAGATTATGTAGGAAGGGGGAGGAACTGAGCCAGTATAGAATAATTAGACACTCCAAGAGGGGAGGGCTATGGCGTGCAAGGAGGGGAGGGGTGTGTGCTAGGGAACTACTTGGTCAAAGGGCTAGCAGATTTGGGTTTGTAGATCCTTAGCTATGCCACTATTGATGGTAGATTAAAATTATGCTATTTGACAGATTTAGGCAATTTGTTCCAAAAAAAAAGGGTGTTATAAAGACTCTGTAATAAATAGCTTTGTAAATTTGTAAGAACCAAGCTCAAGACTTTCGCTTCCTGATTATTCAGCTTTTATGCTATTCAGGTATCAACAGTGTATAAAATGGGCAAATTGCTAATCTAAATAGGGCCATTTAATGTCTGGCTTGACATTGATTTACACCTTGTGTTTGAGTACCGATTTTATCTCTGGGCATGCGCACTGTCTTCTATTTTGCCAATGAGATCTCTTTAGAAAATTTATAGTTGCTGGCCTGTGTCTGGCTTTATTGAATAAGAAAGCAGAACTGCTGTAAATGTGTCGGAATAGTGTGGGAATTCCATACCTATGCACTTCTTCCAGGTCAGAGACTTGGTGTTGAAGCCAAAGATTTAGCATGACAGGCAGGGAACATGCATTTTCAATGGAGAAGTTAGCAATGGCAACCCCCATTTTATTTTTTACTTTTTCTTCATGACACTCGCTTTAAGATTTGAGTAGGATAATATTAAATACCTGCATATCCATGTGTTCATCCATCTGTCATCCACCCTAGGGTGTAACCATTTAATGGTATTAGGGACCATTTCCTTGGAATGATTTAATTTTACTTGTGACCACTCACAGGAAGAGTAGCATGGGTGAAGTCTTCGAGTTCAGTGGCTTTCACTTCTTACTGACTAGATGGTTCTAAACTAGGAATTAAAGTGTTTAATTGGTTTATTCCCATATTAAAATTAGGCTGACTGCCTTCATCTGCTGTATACATGGTTATGCTGAAACTACTGTACTTTTTAGTATGGGCTCATTTGGCATTATTTTAAAATGTATGTATTTCGTCATATGAACTTTTCTTTCTTTTTTTTTTCTTTTTAGCAGTCCCCATGTACGAATATTTATAGGTATTTTGGGGAAATTTTTATTCCTTATCCTTTTGAGTGTGGAATTGGTTGTTAGGTTTTCGAATATATTTTCAAGGCATTAGATTAAACGTGTGTTGTACCTCCTGTGTGCAGCCCTGGAATACCTAGGTCCAACAGGTTAAGATGGTCAGCCAGGGTGGAACTATTTTTATTGTTGGTTAACCAATGTATTGTCTATGATCGTCATGTCATATGAAGGACCAGGCTACCTGTGCAGTGAGATGATGCCAGCTAGACATTGGTTATACCTTTCCATGTAACTTTCCTTCTTTTTTTTTTTCTTTCATATTAAATGTTAAAGTTCATTGAGACATATTCGTCCTGAGTTTTAAAGTGCAGCCATCCCGCCCAAGTCGTGTGAAAAGTGCTCCATGTAACTTTCATCGTTCATGCAAATCAGCATTTAGCATGTTCCAGGTTCACACATCCTGGATGTGTCGTTTTCTCTGTTTGCTTAGTGAGCTTTGTGTTGAAAATGCTCCAGGTGACTACCTCTGAGAAAATGTGCTGAAGGCTTTATTCAGATTCTTGGCTGCTTGGATTTCATCTCCTAGCTGCTATCATTTAATCATGGCTGCCTCTGACCTTCTGTTTTAATTTCCACCCAGTATTAATTCGGATCTATTGAAGACAATGGACAGAAATGAGATATGTTGCTTTAGTGGGGTAATGGATGATGGCAGCTTTTGC